AGCAAAGGGTCTGAATACTTATGACCATGTGATATTTCAGTTTTTCTTTTTTAATAAATCTGCAAAAATGTCAAAAATTCTGTGTTTTTCTGTCAATATGGGGTGCTGAGTGTACATTAATGAGGAAAAAAATGAACTTAAATGATTTTAGCATATGGCTGCAATATAACAAAGAGTGAAAAATTTAAGGGGGTCTGAATACTTTCCGTACCCACTGTAGATATTGTTCTATGAGATCTCTCTGACATCTTAAACTATGCATCACGTAGGTGGGGCTCTGCAGCCATAGCACTGAGATGTTTTGTCAGTTTTGGCACTGCCCCTGGTCATTAGTTATTTCAATTGTTGTTTGGCTCAGACATTAAGGCCCAGTCCATTTGGAGTCTCTAACTTACATAAGCCCTCTGCAGCCATCCAAATGCATTTCTGGTCTGCTTTCCCTGCCTGTTCTATGGCCAGTATTTTACCTCTCATCAATTGATTTGCCCTCCACCCTCCTTTCCTACTTAAACTGAGTCCATTATGTACTGCAGAGTCATCAGTTGTGAACTATTCTCATATTCCTCTTTACTCTCAGTGTCTTCCAGCACAGCATAATTAAACAAAGACTCTTATCTTGATGTCCTATTAACATCAAGAAAAACCTTTTTTTAGACTGCCAATGCTCAGGTAAGAAGCTAGAAATTAACAGTGTGGTGTGCTTCGCAACTTTGCAGCACATACAGATGTGTGATAAAAGGAAAGCCCTGGATAAATAAGGGGTCTCTTCCAGGATGGCAATGCCCCCATCCACAGGGCACAAGGGGTCTATGAAATTGATGTGAATCATATGCTGTGGCTTTCACAGTCAGCCCAGTTGAACACTAATGGGAGATTTTGGACCCATATTTTAGACAGTGTCTCCTCCACCATTATCCAAACACCAAATGAGGGAACATCTTTTGGAAGAATGGTGTTCATCCCTCCAGTATGGTTTAGACACTTGTAGAATCAATGCCAAGATGCACTCACTTACTTATTAAGAATCCGTATGTTGTTCTTTCCCTTTAATATGTCACCCCTCTGTGTATAATTCACTTTAACTTTACTAATCTTAACAAAGCACTGACTCTACAGTCACAACGGTCAGAGTTTATGTGAATCCATCTGAGTTACTGACTGTGTGTATCAGTGAACAAGTCAGTAGATACAGGCATCGCCTCGCAGGGCAGGGCAGGGCAGGGCAGGGCAGGCTTCTTCACTCTAAGTGCTGTTCGTATCCCAGCATCAGCAGATGTGGATCAATGCTTAGTTTTACAGCTTTGCATCCTTGAAATGACTGAGCAAATAAAGCTTAGGCTGTCAATCAGAGACTATTAGTGAAGAAATCCCTTCAGTAACAACCCTTCCTCACCAACCTCAAACACACACACACACATGCACACACAGCTCAGGACAGAGTGAGAGGAGATGGAGTGAGTGTGGTTGGAGCCCCTGGATAGATGGAGTTGTGGGAGAGATCCTAAAATGAACCGCCTAGGACATAAATTCTACCGATGGATCGTTTGCAAGTGGAGATCACCTTGGATCATTTTGGTGGAATAAGACTCTGTGACTGATAATTCTTTGCTGCAGCACACGGAGGACTTTGGACCTGTTTACTTAAAGGAGGATGCTCTGCAATCCATCTAATAGTAGTTTTTCCCTAACTGGTCAGTGGTTAAAGTCAGAGGTTTTGTTTAAGTGAACATAAATGCTGATGCCTGTACAAAAACACTGATAAAGGAGGAGGAGGAGGCAGCAGGAGGAAGGTGATGTTTAGCACCAGGTGATGCTTGTGACATCCGAAGCTCCTTTATGAAATATATTTGTTTAACTACACATCAGACAAAACACTTGTTTCAAATTAAGTTTTTTAAAAGGGGCTTTTGAACAAGAGGTGTCTGATGACTGGCAACAATGGGACTGGAGGGCATGGAAATAATTGCCATTATTGTTGTTACTGGACTGTTTATTGTCGTGCTCAAACAGTTTGGAATTTGGGAGCCCCTTTCACTGCAAGGTAAGACACGAAGAGCAAGTGTGGAGAAAATAAACCAGGATTTAGGTCAAAATGTTTATTTTTGCTTGTCCTTTTAGCAGTGGAACACAATTAGTGTTGAACTTTCATGTTATTAATTGAAACAGCAAATATAAAGTTTGGAGTAAGTCTAGTCACACAAATAAAATATTAAATGATGGGTTTGCATTTTTTTCAAGTAAAAGATACTCACACATTTCCCATCTCTTACATTAGATTTGTATTAAAAAGGATCTCTTGCGTGACCAGTATGGGCAGTAGGAACAGTCACACCAACCAAAACTATTTTACTGTACATTTTGACATTTGAATGTTGTTGTAACATGAACCTCTCGCTAATCATGTGTTCACTGTGTTGGCTTATTTTAGTAACTTGTAGATTTCAGGCCAAATATTTTAACAAGCTTGTGATTTTCTTCTTCCCTTCTCATTCCTTCATCGCCTCACCTCAATCTCTCCCTTGTCTGTTTTACTTTTGATTTGTGTTTAAAGATGGTGAGTATTGCCAGTAGTACTGTATGCACTGTTTTAGTTAATTTTATCCTAGCCCTTTCTGTTAAATTCTTCCCCCTAAGTTTTTTTAATGATACTGAACTTGGCTGTGTTGTCCATTTGGTGGGCATAATAAACCTCTTTTCACAGTGGACATCTAGTCAAACACAGGTGTTACTAATGGCACTAATTAAAGCTACAGTATGGATTTTTTTTGTTGTAGAAATATGTTTTAAAACTTGTCTTAATGTGGAGAGGTGCTGTCGAAGCTTCCTGTGACACAGACTCATTGAACAGCACTGGCAGCAGTGCAGCGATATTAGCTTCTAAAGGTTCTGTGCAGGATTGATCTCTCTAACAGTCAGAGATTTTCAATTATCTCTGATTGATCAGTTAGTTTTATTGCATTCTCATTTCTTGTAATTTCACCAGCATGGCATGGCAGAGCGTAACGGATTGTAGTAGTGGAGCAGAGAGAGGGAGCGCTGGGTGGAGCAGAGTGGGTTGATTTGGAGTTTCATGCTAGCGCTACCTTAAGGTACATACTGTAGTTTTAAGGCTGCACTGGCAATTAGTGACACCTTTGCTGCTACACCAAGTCAAATTCTGAAATCCCTCCCTGTTTGCTGCCTTGATTTTCATAAGTAAGTGAATATGAATTTTGTGCTCTACAACAATAGTGACCTCAGAAATGTCCACAATACTACAAAAATGATTCAGCATGTATATCAGCTTGTTTTTTTCCAACCACTTGAATTTCTTCTCTTGACATTTCTTAAGGATACAAGTGCTTTTTAAGTTTCTCCACTCCTCTGTAAAACCATTTCTTACACTTTTCCTCTGTCATCTTCTTTTATTTTAATCAAATATTGTCCATTCTTCTTACCCACTTTTATCTCCCACCCATTTCCTTGTCTCATTTTTCCTAACCCTTTTGGTTTTTTTGTTTGTAATTTTATATTATTTTGTTTGTGTAAAGATGGTGAGCGTTTTGAGTTATGTGAAGTTTTTTTTGCCTCCCATTTATTTGTTTTTTCTATAAATTTGAACTCCTTCCCAGCTCTTTCTTTCTTTTTCTTTATTTCTTTCGTCTTACTGCTATTTCCTCTGCCCTTCCTCCCCCTTGTGTCCCACCTGCCCCGTTTCTCTGTTTCCCTCTGACAGACAGTAGTGACAGTGACCTTGAACTCTCCATGGTGCGTCACCAACCTCAGGGCCTCGAACAGCTCCAAGCCCAGACCCAGTTCACCAGGAAGGAACTCCAGTCACTTTACAGAGGCTTTAAAAATGTATGAAGACAGTCAGAAAAATGTTTAACACAATGGGGGCATTAGGGGTGGAGTCCCGACTGATTGTTTCTGAAATAAGAAAAGGATTTAAACCAAATTCTTCAATTAATCATTCACTTTATGGCCAAAAGTATGTGGGCACCCAAAAAAAAAGATGCGTTACAGTAATGTGCTGCTGTAACATAATGGAATCTGGCCATAGAGATTTTCTCCCTTTCAGCCACAAGAGAGTTAATGAGGTTGAGCATCGATGCAGGGAGATGGGGTCTGGCTCATTTTTGGGTTCTCACTTCATCCCAAACATATTGAAATAAGACAAGTGTAAAAAAGTAAACTAATTGGGGTAGACATAGGGAGTATATACTGTAGACAGTAAAGTACAAGATTAGTATTGAAAATATGTCTGAAAACAAAGAACAGCACTTGCATCCCCAATGTTTCTCAACGGGTTGTGACCTGTTCAGTCTTGTTCATTGTTTTTTTTTTTTTTTTTACTTTTTTATGGCTGTGAGTTGTAGAATGTATTTTTCAGTCAGTACCCTCGGGAACTTTTTTTTGTATTGTAAATATACACAGCATTTTTCTGCAATTCACCAATGTCAAATGTGCACAGCACATGTAAAAAAAACTGTAAAAAACAACATTTGTTTTATTGTAGAAGCTGTGTTAAACTTCTGTCTATATTTGCCAGCAGCTTAGTTAATTTTACCTTTCAACAGGAATGTCCCAGTGGGCTTGTGGATGAAGAAACTTTCAAAACCATTTACTCACAGTTCTTCCCTCAAGGAGGTATAGCATTGTTACTTGATAATGCCCGCTATAAACATATGCAAGAATGACTTGACTTTCTTGCCAGTTATATTTATGCATGTTTATATTTGCATTTCTTGTTAATTTTCAACCCAGTATATCCATTATTTTTTTTCTCAGATGCAACAACATATGCCCATTTCTTGTTCAACGCATTTGACATGGACAGAAATGGCTCCATCCGGTTTGAAGTGAGTTCTCTGCATGTCATCTGATTTTCTCTGGTCATTAATCAAGACTGACAGGGATCTAGTGGGCTACAGTGATTTTTGTTTTACAGGACTTTGTGTTAGGATTGTCTGTGTTGCTTAGAGGCTCTGTTACAGAGAAACTTCGATGGGCATTTAACTTGTATGATATCAACAAGGATGGCTATATTACCAAAGAGGTACAGTCAACATTTTTATAAGATAAAAAAAACACCAGAATCTGATGCAGTGCCATGATTTCTACAGATGTAATGTGTCTTTCTGCTTTTTTCCTGCAGGAAATGTTGGCAATAATGACATCCATTTATGACATGATGGGCAGGTATACCTTACCCAGTGTACGAGACGACTCCCCCTTTGAGCATGTGGAGAAGTTCTTCCAGGTATATTGACTTTATATCCACTAAGCCACACAGTCTAATTTTTGGTATTTAAATAGATACTTATTATTACATTCAGATATTGTGCTGATCCAATACTATGGTATGTGTCACTGTATCTGGTACAGTTTTTGACTGATGACACTGTTATTCCTTCATAAAAGGAATTTAGACTTTAAGAAACCCAGTCAAATTTAACTGAAAAAATCTGAATGTTCACACATTCCTTCAGTCCAGCTGAGTTTCCTGAAGAATCTTCATTACACAGATTTTGTTTGATACATTCACACCATATCCAATATTTATTTAAAAATAAAATTAGACCTTATCTTTGAGTTGATCCATCACATCCAGTTTTGGTGTGTTCCATCTTTGGATTCTCATATAAATCCTTCTGAAGGTCGAATCCATTCCAAAGTTATAGTCCATCAGATTTTATGGCACACCTTTGAACTTTAGATGAATATCCTTTAGAGATAATGTTTTATTTTTAGAAGGTGGAAGGTTTATTTGCTTAACTATCACACCAAGTACTGCATTCACTTGATTTTCTACTTGGTCAAATATGAAAAGTATCTCCCCTGTAAATATCTACTTTTTCAGAAAATGGATCGTAACAGAGATGGAGTGGTGACCATAGATGAATTCATAGAAACCTGCCAAAAGGTAAACCTACCATCTAACATATTTTACAAGATGATTGACTGTGTTTATACAGCTGTGTGTGTAATAGGACACACATCTCTTGCATCTCTTATCTTTTGTCAACAGGATGAAAATATAATGGCTTCCATGCAGCTCTTTGAGAACGTCATCTAGATGTGGATCAATGATGCTGCATAGGGCTTCCAGCTGCAAGCTTCTGGGCCTGAAATTACACCATTCATCTTGTAAAGGAAAAACTGGCTCATGCAACACATTTGACACATCTTATTGCAAACTGTTATCTTTCCAGTCCAACTGTTCTATGCAGAGAAATGTGCAGAATTCACCAGATCACTTGAAGAAGAGATGTTTGTCTGCATGAATTTTATTTTGATTTTTGCACATGAAGAAAATGTGAAAAAAGCATCATCGATGCCAGATGAGCATGAGTATTTGTTCAGCATTTAAAAGCATGTAATGCAAACCACACTGAACACTAAACAGGGATTGAATTGTTGATCCCTTTGAAACCTGGGCATAAGTGGAGCAATACTTTGTTACTGTATTATACTGTAAAGGAAATAATAATGTTTATAAGTTCATCAGAACTTTGTGTAAATGTGATACCCAGTCATTGTAATGTTGACACAAAACCTGTGTAAATAAATGTCTACTTTCACCAACTGTTAACTCGATTGATCATCTTATTTTTAATGTCCTAACTACTTCAGTGCCAACAAATGATCCACAACCCACGCACAATATTCCCTTTTTTTTGTTCAGAGTAATGAATGTTCTCAATTTTTTTCAAAAGCATTTTCTTGTTTGTGTGTGAAATGATAACATTTAGACAGATTGGCCATTATTTTGTTACTTATTTTATTTAACACATAAATATCATGACAAACCATACTGAACCATTTTTAAGAGTGACTAGTAGTATACAATGGCAAGTCAGAATGAGAGGATTCACAAACATACCGTATGTATTGAAGAGTATCCAATCCTAAAGATAAGTAAGTGCACTTTACACACACTAAATATTGTGTGTGAGCTTTACAAAATACAGACTTCACTCAATACACCAGTACTCTGTGAATATGGCAAATAATTAACAGTAATATTTTGTCTTTAGGTTGAACATTTACTTGAAAATAGCGTCACTGACAGCCTGTAAACAAACCCCAGAATGAAATAAAGACTTTAAGCAGATAAAAGAAAACAAACTGAAATAGTAAAACAATCACAAAACACAAATAAGTAAATTATCTATAAACTTCACCAAACACAACTATAAAATGGAGAACAACAACCAATTTTTATAGTCATTACAGGAAATACATGCATCGTGTCAGCTCGGGGAGGCTTTGAGAAATTTACAGACACACCAACAGCGGAAGATGATTAGAAATATGCACTGGCCAGCTCAGGCATGGAAAGTCTGGAAAGTTTGAGTTTCTCTGGAAACTTAAGAGTATCCCTGGAAACATGAATACAAATCAAATACAGCACAGTGGAACAAGTCTCCCAAGACAGCAGTATTTATGTACAGTGAACCAACTTCCACTGTTTCCAAGCAACTTTAAGCCAGTGCCAGTGCTTCCAGTTCCACTGTTACTCTTGTCTGACTGTGAACAAATTGTGTAATACCGCAGAATTAGTGCGGGGATGTGAGAATGTAGGATTACAGTTTTAGATGGTTGTATACTTCATCTGTTCAAAACCTCAAAAAAAAAAAACAACAAATGCATGTCCTCTATCTTAGCACCTCAGGGATGACATCATGCTGCACATATAAGAAGCATATTGACTGATGGCTCCTTTCTGTCAAGAGCTATTACAGTACATGCAGTCTAACACTTTCCAGGCAGCTGAACATAAAACCAATGTGTTAGTAGCAGCATGTACATATCTGACATGGACTAGGCCTATTCTCAATATGAGGACACTGTATCTTATTTTGATTATTATCACAACAGACGACCTCAAACATTTCCGAGTACAAGGAGGCTGATTGGGTATTATTACCTCGTAAACACCGTTAGGGACCAGTGTTTGTACCGAAATGTGCACATGCCTAATCATGTGACTATTTAATTGCTTTGTCTTGGCTGTTGCACAACAATGCAGGCCCAAACATTAAACCTCCCGATGGCTGCTGGGAAACCTCATTGTGGACTTAAGGCTTTTATTATTTCTCCTTTCTCATTAATAACTTATGCACTTTGCGCTGACAATCTGTTTTGAAAACCCAATTTACAAACTGGTGAAAGTTAGATATCTTTAAATGCTGAACCATATTAACAACTGGTCTTCAACCTAACATTGCTCAACTCTCCTTACACATATCCAAATTTCATGGTGGGAAGAGAACTTAAACCTTTGATTAAGCATGTCATATACTGTAAAATCAGTCTGCCGAACTGTCCACTATAGATGGAATTATGAATCAATGGTAATGATATTATTTGGGTGTTTCTGCATATATATATATATAAAACTCTCTCATGTCAAATTTCTTTTTCTAAACAGTAGCACAACTGAACTAAAGCACCCTGAACCCGTTTACTCTGCATTCAGTGCTCAATAATATGTAAAAAGTGCAAAATGAATCCTTGAAAATACAAACGCATAAATTAGTCCTTTGCACTTCACAAACCTAACTAAACTGGTGGCTACCTCTTAAAATGTACTCCTTTACTTACTATATACATCAACATTGATACCTTTTGTTAGTTTCCTGCAGTGATGCTAAATGCTTGACTGAATACGAGTCAGAGAGCTTGTAAATATACAGCTATGGTTTTGTGTGACCAAGATAATGTACATTAGCAGTAAAGCAAGTGGATGTGCAAGTATAATAAAGGAAGCAGATACCCATTTGGAACAAAGGAAAGGAAGGCTAATTGTTCTTACTGGAGCAGGAACATGCTAGACAGTAGCATAAAGAGGGAAGTGAAAAGTTGAATCACTCCATAGCTCAGAATGCTGCTGCAGTCCGTGGGCTGGATATGTTGCTCAGCTTTTCGTTCTTCAAGAAAGCTCTTAGAGTAGGCTATGTACTCTTCAACACAGCGTCGGGACTTCACTTGGTCAATCAGTGCTGGGTATCCAATCTCCTCAATGCTGACAGTGTCATCCTCCTCCTCATTACCTCCACTTTTAGGAGTATCAGAGGTACTCATGCAGCGATTCATGAAGCTCTCGTAAGTCTCTGCCCGTGGCGGAAGCTTGTTGACATAATCATGGCCAAAGTCTTTTTGATCTGTGGAGCGGGAGCCATAATTGCGGTACATGTAGTTGTTGTAGGAGTACTCTTCTTCGGGGGTGCGGAAAGAAAAATGTGGTCGAGGGAAGCGACCTAGTCCATATCCAACAGCCATTCCAGCCAAAGCACCAACACCTGCTGCCATCATGGCTTTTTTGGCAAAACCTGAAGATTTGGGCTGGAATCCCATACTCTGCACAGAATTGGAGAAAGGAGACCCACCGGTGCCATAACCACCTCCTCCTCCAAGGCGGGGACTCAGAATCTTATTATTTGGGTTCCAGTTAGGGTAGCCACCAACTGCTCCACCGGGGTAACTCCCTGGATTTGCACCAGGCTGACCCCAACCCTGTCCTGTATTTCCCCCTCTGACTGGGTAACCACCTGGACTGAAACCTCCCGTGCCTGGATTTTGGTTAGGATAGCCACCTGCACCTGGATAGCCGCCAGCAGCTGGATACTGATTAGGATACCCTCCCTGGTTGGTACCAGCTCTGCCTGGATTTTGGTTAGGATACCCTCCCGCGGCTGGGTATCCAGGTGCAGGGTTCTGGTTGGGATAACCTCCAGGATTGACTCTGCCAGGATTCTGGTTGGGTTTATTGCCTGCTCCCGGGTAACTTGCTGGGTTTTGTCTGGGATATCCTCCTTGATTAGTGTTGCCTGTTCCTGGATGAGGGTAACTTCCACCAGAAGGATAAGGTTTGTGTTGACTGGGACTATGTGGCTTAGAGCTGGATGGTTTTGACTGTGTCCCACCCCTGCTGCTGGAAGATGGGGTCTTCCTTACACTGCTGGTGCTTATTTTTTTAGCCCATGTCGATTCAGGATTCAGGAGAGACATAATAAGAAGGGACACAAGAGCCATCTCACACAACCTCCCCATCGTGGCCCTAAAGAGGATGAGAAATACTTCTCGGTAAAAGTCATAACAATGAATTGTTACAAATGCAAATATTTTCTATGTTCTTTTTCAAGCATGTTCTCTTATGCAAATAGCCTAAGTGCAAAGTTACTTTTATTCTCCATTAGAAGCAGCAATAAACAGCAGCTGTGGTGAACAAGAGCTACTTTGTTTACACTTGTATTTCCACTGTCTAGGTCTTCTGCTTTGCCTTTCTGAATGATGAATACAGATAGCTGACGGCAGGGGGAAATTATTTCTCTTATGCAGGTGTAGAACATACATGCTACTTGGCAGTTGACTGTAGTCCGTGTTCAAGTGCCACTTTTTCAACCCGACTGGCCCAGACAAAAGTGACGTGAGGTAACACAACAGTCAGCCTTCGTCGCTGCTAGTTCTCTGCCCTTTGTCTGGGCCATGGGCGTTGCTAGACTTGAAGCTTTACTGGGGCACAGGCCCCCCATATATATGTATATATATATATATATATATATATATATACATCCAACTGGCTCTGCAGCATCCCGTTTGACAGAACGACTCACCTCACTGTTCAGAGCAATACATCTGACTGTGGCTCTAACATACCTGTATATGCTCACTCCCTGACAAAGCAGCACGCTATGAAGAAACATGACCCATGCGCTTGAGAGCCAAACCCTGAGCAGTGGCCTCATACATATAGACACATACATACATACATACATACATACATATATGGGGGGCCTGTGCCCCAGTAAAGCAATGCCCATGGTCTGGGCCAGTTAAAAAATAAGGAGAAACCACACTAAATGTGTGAAATCATGGGGGGTTTTCATTACCTAGTACACCAGTTTCAGACTCTCTTACTTGGGAGCTCGGACTTGGTAAGTTCAAACTTTAAATACAAACTTCTGAGAACCGGAGGACACAGTACTCTCAATATGCAAGTGGAACACCAGTGTCCTTGCTGACAAACTACTGTGCTCTGAATGAGATGTAGCTGCCTAATTATAGCTAACTGGTCTGTTAGCAAGTACTGGCATCTCCAGAAATGTCAAAGCAAATTTCCAAATTGGCATTACCCCATATTCTCAGGTGATTACGTTCTCCTGAAAAAATATCAAAACTTTATAAATGGCATAATAACAGTCCTAGAACAAAAATTATAACAGCTTTGAGTCTGGCTCAAACTTCAATAGCTGGCACACTGTGCATTCTGGGATGCTTGGCTGCCCCAAGTCCATGAAAGTCAGCTTCCAAAGCACACTGGATAAAGTGGGTGGAGCAAGAACGCTTCTGGTTTTTTGATGTGTACTTGGCTGGATGCAGACATTGAATTGGAACTTGGACTGTGACTTTTGACTGATAATGTTTTACAGGTCTGCAAAATGGTCCGACACCAATTCAACATGCCAAATCAGTTAACAAGCAGAACCATAGGGTCCAACTAGTGCCAATGGTGCCGGACACAGAGGGAAGACAAGGCCCAACAAGGGGTCACCAATGCCTGAAAGGTAATGGTCAACTGGCCATAGAGCCTACTCACAATGGCTCATGTAATGTTAACACCAGAGGTGTTGTGTCATTTTGACGGACAGGGTCGTGAAATTGACGTCATAATTTATTATTACCCCTCAATTTATTTTTGATTTTTAAGGATAAGATATAGCCGATTTAATAGCATTTAGTTTTCATTCATTTTCATTTTATTTTTTAAAATTATTAATATACTGAACAAGCTAATGTGCAGCCACTTTTCATGTCAACACGTGACTTTTTTCTCATAGTGACAGCGGAGGCCAAACACTGCAGCCATTGTGCATAAACAAGCAAAATGTAACAATACAATTTTACAAAATTAGGCAATTACCATTAAAATACAGGCAACCCATTTACACAAAGCATTGAACTCGACGGACCTGCTATAGCCTGGCCTGCTGCAGAGTCGACTGTCAGTAGGTTTTGCGTCTATGGACACAGATAATTTCTCACGCCCTAATTTAGATCTGACAGCTGAACACTCGCTCTGCTGCCGCAATGGAGACTAATTACCAGCTCCACCTCACCCAGAGTTTTGAAGTCGGGGAACACTTCTCTCAGAACGTGTTTAGAAGTTGCTCTGAACCTGGGGTTTCCCGATCCTGAAACACACTTCACCTGTCTGCACCAGAGGTACAGCAACACCCCTCGGTTATCCGTCCCAGACATGCTCCGTGGCCTCCAGTCCGCAGGCCCCTCTCCCAGTCCGTGGCGGTTTAACGCACTGTCATCCCGGATAACGAGATGCGCTGAGTACGGAGTGCGGTCTCGGTTGTCCTTCATCCACCCCATCAGTTTCTTTTCTTTCACCTCATTTAACGCCATAGCAATTACTGGATATTTTCAGTAGCCTTACTCTAAATGATGGTAAATTGCCCTCTGTTTTCTTATCTGTTAAATAACGGACGGCCTTCAGATTTTTTATTATATAAAAAAAAAAATCAGTCAATTACGGAAAATATTCGGTTAACATAATCCCCAGTTAGCACCATTGATTATTGAATTTTCAGTTATTTCTTACCTTAAACTGCTTTTTTAATCTGCGTACTTCGATGGTAATTCGATGGTAAACCTTGTTGTCCTGTCCCTCCTAGCTCAGTTATGAGCTCCAACCGTTAGACTGGGCTCGTCTACGGGATGCGCTCGTTTTAATGTAGAGCAAGTACCCTCTGAGAAACAGAGGTGGAAAACTGCTGTGACCACCATGCCTTGATCATTATGAGATCGAAACCACAAATTAAATTACAAATCATATATGTCCATACACCAGGTGGAACTAGTTGCATTTCTCCTCATGTTTTTCGATTATTACAAAGCATTAGACTATAAATCATGAAGGAAAGACATCACGTTAATTATAGCAGTGCACTGGGTTGTATTTTCAAATGTAGTTTCGTGATTCTTCTATTCCTGGAATGCTATTAGCTAATATTGGATGTAAAGCAACATTTTTAGCCTTTGTTTCTACACGTAACTTGCCACAGATAACACTGGTTAGAGAAGCAACAAATTTGCTTACTATTGAATTCCAGTGTTAGGTTTCAAACCTGATAGAAAATTTAAGTACAATAGCTTATTAGCTCTGATAGGTCCTCCGTACTGTGGCCCTGGTAGCCTATGTCAAAATGCATTTTTAAGACCTTAATTGTCTTAATTTATTTGAGGCCATTTGTGGTAAAGTTTGATCACATTGCTCTTTTTTTCTGTATCACATCCTAACAATACCCATATTTTCCATTATATAAGTAGGCTGCTGTAACATGTGTTTCGTACACTTGAATATTTTTAAATAATTGATTCATGCCCTAAGTGTATGCAGCACGTATTTTTTGCTTAAAATGTTGCTTATATATATAATCGCCAATTAATTTTGCCAGTGGACCAATCAACAAATTATTTCAGCTCTAGAGTAGGCCTACTAGTTATGGTTCTCGGTGACTGGTGAAATAATTAAGTTGACATGTACCGAGAACAAGTTGTTGCCCGCCCTTCCGCTCCATCCTGTACTATACAACAAGCGCGCACCTGAAGCCTGCGCAGTTTAATAGAATGAGCAGCCTGTGGGCTGGACTGTGTGGCTGACGTCAAGGTTGTAAACGGTCAAACACCCGTATGTACTCGCAGCTTTTTGTCCGGTATATAGAGGAAACATGCCGGGAAAGAGAGAAACCAGCGGAGGGACTGCATTTAAGAAATACATACCTGAGACATAAACATCACATTAAGGACTACGGCGGCGTTTTATGACACTTTAAGAGCAACTCTTAGGGCTACGTTGCTATTTCACGGGCAAGTCGGTATCGAATGGACTGATAAAGACAGTCCGTGCTTGATCCGAAGTAGCCTAGCAGGCAGGCGGGCCCGGGCTGTGTGGAAAGAGAGGGGGGACAACGTGTGTGAGGCTCAAATCAAGACGAGATTCCTTCTTCCTAGGGGATGTTATCCGTATTGTCTTATGGCAGACTGGTAGCCAGGGCTGTCCTGGGTGGACTCTCTCAAACAGACAGTCGGGACTACAGCCTTATCACCGCCAGTTATGGTTTCGGTAAAGACTTTCGGAAGGGGATCTTGAAGAAAGGGATGTGCTACGGGGATGATGCCTGCTTCATTGCGCGGCATAGGGCCGCCGATGTTTTGGGTAAGCTTTCATATACAATACTAAAACCGGTTTGTAAATGCATATTAAACTCCCTCTATGATCCGGTGACCTTCAGTGAGCTAGTTTACACGCGTAAGGTCTCCTCGGATGAAAACACAACACACCACCCTCTCCAAAACAGTCTTAACTTCAACTTTTCTCACTTGGCTGCCGTTACATTAGGTTAGCTAGTTGTCTTGAGTACCGGGCAGATGATTACAGGAGATCAGTCCGCACAGCACACCTATAATCATGTCAGTTTATGCATAAATTGAAATTATGTGCCCTAGCGGGTAGTTTGAGATTAAACATTACATGACCTTTCACCTAGATGAGCTCCCACTGAAGAAGACACAGCAAGATATAAAATTGGGATATATATGCACATTAAATTAGGTTATACATAAGCTTAAATGTGGACATGAATGAAAAAGCCACTATTACAGCGTCAAAGTCTGAACACTACAATGTCTTGCAAAGGTCAGAATGGTTGAGCATGGACGCAGCCATATTGCTAACAACGTGTGTAGCCTGCTAGCTGAGCACAGTGGAATTGCTTTGTCCTCAAATGCTCAGTTGTCAGGAGGATAAACACCCCAAAAAGCCTGACTACACACGGGGCTTATACGACACTTTGAAGGTGTGTTTTATGTTCACCCGCTGTGTAGTCTTGGTCTGGTTATATGAAGCAGAACCGGCAGATCAAAACTGGGGCTTCACGTGTTACATGTCGAGCAGAAATGGAGTGGTAATTAATTTTACAGTAAACTCCTGTGAGGGTGGCTAACATTAGTTTTGTTTGTTTTGTCTTTGTCTTGGGGAACAGTAATGGATAATGATAATTTCCTTAGCTGCGCAGATGGAAATTTCTGGAGATTCCCTTGGTGTGTATTTTATTTTCAGTTTTGTTTTTAAGGTAACATTAATCAACAGCAGAAGGAAAATTATACTGATGTTAGTCTGTGACTTACTCTATGCATATCCCTCATTGAGAATGGGATCCATGGGTCTATGCATATGCTATAAAACTGCAAGATTATTATTATTATTATTTATTTTATCATTGTTCTACAGCTCCGACATGTCACAAATCCCTGTTTAAAAAGCAGCACAGTTTTGTTTTTAATGTCCTAACTTTTGGACTGTTTGCTTTGGCTCTTGAGCTATATTTTTTGCATTAACCAGATGTACTGTAAATTAATCCAGTCAGATCAGTTTCAATTACATTTACTTGTCTGCAATTTGGTCTGCCACATGTCATCCACCACAACAGCTTTGTGTGGTTTGGGACTAGGTGTCAACAGTTAATTTAAACTGAAAACAAACTGCAATGAAACAGAACTGCAGGGCTAGTGTTTCAAGAAATGGCAGAGATAAAGCTGCTTATGCATTTGATAAATGTTGTTTAGTAGGTGATGGCTGTTATGCAGTGGCTGAGGTGAGGCCATGATACCACGTTGCTTAAGATTATCCATCCATCCATCTGCTATAGCTGCTTATCCCTTAGTGGATAAAAATTGAGACAGGAGCCTATCCCAGCTGACAACAGATGAGAGGCAGGCTACAGCCTGCAAATTAAGCTAATATGCATTTCAAATCCAGAACCTACTTGTTGTGTCACCTTACAACAAGCACTCATGTTTGCATATATTGCAAACATAGGTGTGTATGTAGATGACATCCTTCTAGAGACAAATAATGCCCTTGCTGCTGCAGTAATAATACACATTTGGTCTGGCACCAAATCAATGACTTTAGTCTTGGTACTGAAAAATAAAGCTTGGCATTAAAAACAGAACTGCAACTGAAAATGCAAACATTGGCATTGAAGCATTTGTATTGGGGGAAAAAAACCCCACTGACATTAAAAAATATTAATACTGGAAAAATGACAGTCTTCTGATTTTTTTTGATTTTTTTTTAATTTTATTTTATTTTATTTTTTGGTCTCTGTGTTTTTCAATACCAAAGCCTTTGTTTTGGCATGAAGGGGAGGGCATTGGAGGTGGGGCTAAGGAGAGTGTGATTTGCATACTCTGGTTGAAATCCGTGAGGAGAGGATGGCCCTCTCCCCTGATCAGCTGTCCGTATTGAGGTTTCTGTCTGCCAAGCATGGCTGGAGAGTCACTGCAGCAGCTTCCCCGAATTCAGCTGAAGCTTTCAAACTATGAAGTGTGGCATGTCTCCTTTAGAGCTATGAAAATTGACCTCTTGTAAAGGCTTGGACAAAGAATCCAGTGTAGGACATCTGACTGCGTATAACACTTAGTGTTTACAAGTATTGCTATACACAGACTATACACATATATAGATTTTTTTTATGTATTTTTAAATATATAAAGGTAAATATGAAACATTTTCAAATATACTTTAGGCAAATCAGGATTAGATTATCAATCAGTAGTCTTCATTTGTATTCTCCTTTTTATACATTAGGTGTAGCAGATGGCGTAGGTGGTTGGCGTGACTATGGTGTCGACCCATCGCAGTTCTCTGCCACCCTAATGAGATCCTGTGAGCGACTGGTGAAGGAGGGACGCTTCGCTGCCAGTAGTCCAGTAGGTATCCTGACCTCTGGCTACTATGAGCTCTTGCAGAACAAAGTTCCTCTGCTAGGTGAGTGCACACAGGCACAAAACCACACACATTGGTGGTGGTGGAGTGAGTCATGCTTTTCATGTAAGCAGCTGTGCTCTGAGAAATAACATAACTGCAGGATGAGTCAGATTTTGAATAATTGTTTACTATACTGTAAGTCAAACCAAAACTTTTCTCCATTTAACTTGCATTTCTCTTTTTAACCTAGCAAAAAATGCATGACAAGATGGGGAAAAAGTTTAACACTTCAGTTTCACCAGCTGTATTATTTAGTGTAGTATTTATCAATGTGAGGATTGTCATCACTGTTTTAGACTTAGACCTGCAGCCCTCTGATTACATCTTACCAATGGGGTAGCTAGCTAACACTGTCAGGCTGTATTTTGTTATGCTGCCACTTGGAAGTTGAAAGTCACTGGCCCTGTGGGACTAAACAATTTCCTTTTCCACATAGTGAACATTCTGACTCGTACCAGAGCTCCAAAAGGTCAGCAATCCATCTGTAACGGACACTGAACAGATTTTAAAATCATGGATATGTCAAGCATGTGACCAAGGTCACATTTCTTCTAACACTCAGTATCCATGACCCACAACCAGTATAACCACCTGCCTCCTTGTCCTGACATTTGTTAAATGGCCTACTTTTATTTTGGGACACCATGATAAGGTCTGTGCTCGACCTTCCCTGCTCAAGGTTACTCAAACTGTTGGCTCCTAAAGCTGCAGTCACTGGGGATCTTGGACAAGCAAGGGATATGACCTGTGTGTTTGTTGCTTGTGAATTGCATAATAAACTCACCCACCCACTTTAGATTGTGCAAATTCACAAGGAAGGTGTGCACAAAGCCAGTCATGTACTGGCTGGGCCACCTCTCTTGAAAGTGAAGTGCAAATTAAACTTCTTTTATTTCTCTGTTCCAAATTGAAATGTTTGCATATTCACTGTTATGCTGTAGTATCCTCAGATTTACACAAGTTTCTTTTCTACTGTTCTGTTGTATTTTACCTGACTGTTGTTTGGCTCTCCTCTGCTGTAGGGAGCAGTACAGCCTGTATCATAGTTCTAGATCGACGGGGTCACCGGCTACACACATGTAACCTCGGTGACTCAGGTTTCCTGGTGGTTCGAGGAGGAGAAGTGGTTCATCGCTCAGACGAGCAGCAACACTATTTTAACACACCGTTCCAACTGTCCATTGCTCCTCCGGGAGCCGAGGGCGTGGTGCTCAGTGACAGGTTAGTAGCTCAGTTTTAGATATGTCCTTGCAAATCGTGTGAAGCAATTTAAAGAATAAAATTAAAAACAGGTGTTCACAGGTTTGCTGGCCACACCACGTTTAGCCAGTTTAACTGCTTGTTTGTCTTTTCTTATATTGCTTGCATGAAAAGTACATTGTAGTTTGCTGTTTTTGTTCAAATTTCAGTGATAAATATGCTTTTTGCCCTTATCATCGCATCCTAACACTAAATTCACCAGCACGTGCACATACCTCTGCACACTAAAATAACATCAGTAAAAGAAGGTGTGAAATGTGCAAAATCAGTTAGAAATTCTAAAATGCTTTGTATAATTTTCACACAAGCTTGTTTTTGTTGCTGCAAGAATGATGTAATTGTTTATGCACATCATTATTATTAAATGTGACCCTCTGCACCAAATAACACAATTCGCTGGCTTCAAGCAGCCCCATATATATTTTAAGTTTAATCCTCTTCTTCTTCTGGTGTGAAATAAAGATTAAGAGTTTGATGTTCAGCACAAAGTTTCTTTTTAAAAATACATTTATGGCTGTGTGGTATGTCACCATAAAATAAAAATACTCCGAGAAGGAACATAATGTTAAAGGCTCCCAGCAAATATAACCCGAGTCTAAGGCATGATGCAAACAAGCAGAAGGATCTGTCTGGGTCTGGCTGGGACACACAGAGCAGGCTGCTTCCAAGTCAGCTGACAGATTAGACACTTTAAGAATTGGTAGAGTGATTTCTGACATGCTGGAAACTGATAACAGCACAGACACTGCATGCTTCTGTTTATTTGTGACTGATCTCACTGTGCTCCTGCTATTTCCTGTAGTCCTGAAGCAGCTGACAGCTCCTCCTTTGACGTACAGCTCGGTGACATCATCCTGACAGCAACCGACGGGCTCTTTGATAACATGCCAGACTATATGATTCTTCAGGAGCTCAAAAAACTCAAGGTGTTACTTACTTCTGGATATCAACTTGCTCAGGCTTTCACACATGCATATAAAGTGAACACATATGCAGAAAATTTTCCATCTTTCTTGTTTAATACTTTTTATTTTTGCTCGTTTCAGACTACCAACTATGACAGTATCCTGCAGACTGCACAGAGTATTGCTAAGCAGGCTCATGATCTTGCCTACGACCCCAATTATATGTCTCCTTTTGCACAGTTTGCCTGTGACAATGGCCTGAATGTAAGAGGTAATTATGCTGTCTTTTGACCATTTTAACTGCAATTCATGGTGTTTGGTTTTGATGTACACATTTTAAGTGAATATATAATTTTAAACCTTACCAGACAGTATCATTGTATTTGTAAATCACATGAGTAAGAGGATACATAGTGCAATGGTTTAAAAAAATAAACATCTGTACTGTGCATGACATTTAAACGTAAGACATGTTTACACCTAGTTTATGCTCGCCATTCTCGCCAGTGCTCCCGGTCGCCCACGGCAAATATGACAACTGCTGGCACACGGTGCACATTGGTGTCCCGCACCTCCCAATTTTTTGGGAGAATACTGCAGCGAATCAGATGTGCCTCAAACATGGGTATAAGCAGTTCTGTCTCTTAGTGTCACAGTTCACATGTGCAATTTCCAATGCGTCGAGCATAACCACGACTGTAGTATGGCAAGATAAACCGGGAAAGGCTTTAATTCTATCAGTACATTATGGCATCAAGTTCCTGATTGCCTTGCACTTGGGGAAGAAAAGTTCCTGCTTTACTTTGCACGAACTAGTTTGGCTTGGTTCCTCACAGCTTTTTTGTCTTTTTCTGCAGGAGGGAAACCAGATGATATCACAGTGCTGCTGTCCATTGTGGCCGAATATACTGACTGATAAAAGTGTGTGTGACAGTGTGAATGTACTTTTTCGGAGCTGATCCTCCCTTCCCCTCTGCCTGAGTCTTCCACCTGCAGCCCTCCCAGAATGCACTGCTGCATCCAATGGGCTGACCAGGGGAGGTGCACTGACACGACAAACACTCCTCACAGCGGGGCTGGTGTCCACCCGTGTAACACTTTTTTGTTTTCTTCCTCTGTTGTGCTTTGGTGCTTGAATGGGGGACAGGAAGCAGGCAACTAGGATATCTTCATGTTGATCATGATGCAGGAGGAGCCGAGTACGACAGACTCGAGGGATTGTCTTTCAATCTCCTGTGTCTAAATGCATCTGTCTAAGAGACGATCCAGGACAGTGTGGATTGATTGAAGGCTTTAAAATCTGGTAGCACTTGTGTATAAGAGGAGTAAGCCATGCCTTTGGATTGTGTAGAGTAGTGGGTGGAGTTGACTCATCTGTCTCTGTTGTTCCAGCTGTTATTCTGCTCTGTGTTGTAAATGTGTTTGAACAAAACTGCTGGACATTGAGTTGGGTTTGGGAATGTGAATGATGGATAAACTAACTAGTAATTTGTCACTGGGCTGAGGGATTTGTCTGTGCGCACATTCTGATTAGTTGTACTTTTTTTTTTTTTTAAGGGCTATGTTATAGCCTTTCTGTTATCTTTACTTTGATCATAAAGCAAAGAACTATTGTTACTATTGTGGAAGAATTACATGCATTCATAAAAAATATTTTCTTGTATAAATCTTAATCTCGAAGTGAGTTTTATCAGTCCCATATTTCTACTTGCTGAAATGAACAAGATATTTGCTGTCACTGATTAATGCAGCAGTTTTGTGGTAGGAGGAACTGTGTCTGAGTGTGCGTGTGTGCGCGCCTGTGCATGTGTCGTAGGGTGTGTGCGGGGTTGGGAGATGTACATGCAAGATGTTCTTGGGATGTATGGTGTTCTAAATGTTAATATTTATTTCACAAAGCTGAAGTTGGCATCTGGGAATGCTTACAACTGCAATGATAGGTCAGGCATGAGTGTTAAAGAAAAGTTTTGTTTTTTTTTAACATTCAGTTTAAGAGTTTGACGTGTGACATGAAATATGTGTGACAGATGGCTAAAAGATGCAGCTATCTTAAAAGGAGATAATGCGTGGTGTGTGTTTGTGGGGGTAAGTGTCACATTTATTTTTATGTCCTTTTATGTCTCTTACATTTGTTTGCTGCTGCTTCCTTTTGTAATTCACATGTCTGTATATGCCTTGACATGATTTATATGAAAAGGGTCCTCATGATTGTAGTGTGTGCACTAAATTTCATCCAAATACATTAATCAAAGACATTGTTAACACTGTTCTTTTCATAGTAGTGTATCCCTTTCGTCTAACAGCTCATTCAAGTGGTTTGCAAAGTGTCTACAGTTTAGAAGCAGATGCACCAAAGATTTTTCTTTGTGTATGTCAGTATACTTTGTCATAAACATCATACAGCAATACTGTAAACTCATTGTGTTCTGAATCTTGTGGGATGGTTAGAAAGGTGGGTGTTCACATGGGGACATTAAAATGTCGTTCCTGTGCCTAATGTGTGAGAGTAACTGTTGTATCATATTGTTGGTTAAAGTTATATGTGACTGGTGATCTGTAACAAAGAATAACACAGGTTTATAAAGCCAAAGAAGGAAAGCCATATTTAAATTGATGGTGAGGGCACTGCTCCGTCTGCCCGCAAGATAACATTGTGTTAGTGGAGACCAATATTGTCACTGTGGTGTTCTTCTAACAATCATGATAAAAACGGTATAATTGCTGCAATAGCTGAATTCACTAGCCTTGCTCATCTTGCAATAGAAAGCAGGATTCTACAATTCAGATATGTGATGGAGCAGCAGTACAACAGATGTCTGGTGTTTCTTCCTCATATACATAATCAAGACAGTTAATTGAATCTTTTCCGGTCTACTGTCTGCACTGTGGTTTTTGGCCTTAGCTATTGGCACCATTTTCATACAGTTCATTTCACACAGCTGTAGTTCATTGTCTGTAGAAGGGTTTGTGTATACAAAGGTTCAGTACTTGTATTTACTTCAGAGATAGCCCTGTATTTTAGAGGGATGCAACCCAAATGCAGAAGGGAAGGTGGTGAGGTACGTAATGGTGCTGTGAACTTAGTGTGAGGATGAGCACAGTTTCAGCCTTAACCAGACCTGTGATCAAAAGGCCTTCCCAGCCATTGGAAGCTTGTTTTGTCTTGGTCATGTTGTCCGGTGTTCGATGTGAGTGAGGTTTGCCCTGTCTTTCCAGTAAAGCCGTTCTCAAAGGTGCTTCTGCAGTCCTGTTTCCAGCAAGCAATGTTTGTGTGTATGAAAGATACTTCTTTGTCCACATTGTAACACTGCAGGTCTAATTTATGTAAATATGTTTTGAGATATGTACAATATTTAAATAAAAAATTTAGTATTTATACTAAACTTGCTTTACTGTTTTCATGATGCCGTCTCATGTATGAAGGGTTTAATCTTTACTAACACGGCTGCAAATGGACAGCTCAAAATTCATATGGTTGTTTTTCATTTGACATTAAAATTTGAACTTTGCTGAATCCTTATGACTGGATGAAAAATATTTTAAATACAATTCAGATGATTTTTTTTCAATGAATACATTTTCACTACATTTTATATTTTATGATACAATTTAATGTAATTGATTGATACCGTTCCTCATCTAAATTTCAAATCAATTGAACCAGTTTAAAGAAAAAACAGTTTAGTTTAGCAGGTTTTCTGTTTTGTTTGTATAGAGTCACAAACCAAAAAGAGTGGGAACTACTGGATTATTGTGTGTTGGATTTCATAAACTAATGTATTCTAATTAATAAACTAATATAACTGATAACATGTCAATAATAATGACTATTCATAAACTAATATATTCTACTTTTTCCAAGTACAACTTTTTAGTCTTAAAAATGAAAAACTACAATTGTCAAATAAATACACTGGAGTAAAAAGTACAACGTAAGGTCCAATGTTTCCCTTTTAAATATAGTGTAGTAGAAGTAAATTAGTAGTCCACAAAAATATTAGTCCCAAATAAGATAAATTCTGCACCTGAATATGCTATTTCGTCAGTAGAGGGCAGTGGAGAGTCGTAGGATACCATGACTACTTTATTTGCTACTCTGCTTTAGCTTCCTTGTAGCTAACACCGTTCTTGCTGACAGCACAGATTGTGGCTCCGATAGGTGTGTTGTGTCAGCTGACAGTTGTGTGATGCTAGCATGTTAGCTTTGAAGTTAGCAAGCAGATGCTGCTAATTTAGCGTTTCTCTAGATAGCGCATTGATGGAATTTTCTTTGTGTTACCTGAGCATTAATTATGTGACCCACAGCGAGGTGATGTATTTATAAACAAACTACCTACGTCGCTTTTTAGCACCAGCAAGCCAGAAGCTAGGAAGATTTGCTTCCTAGCGACCGTAGCTACCTAGCTATGACCGCATGCTAGCCAACAAGTAATCGTCTTAATGGAGAACCCAAGCTTTTAGGAATGACCTTAAGTTATGTGAGAAAACTGTAAACTCGCGGATTCTGCTTTGATAAATGTTAGTTAAATGGCAAAAACTGAGCAGCGCAATGGACTTGATATGTGGGGCAGCAAAGAGAAGGTAACAGATAATGAGAAAGAGTCTTATGGATCCGACCCAGTGGTAAACGGCAGTGCCATCCCAGGGGAGAAACAGGTGGACAGGTATGGGTTCGCCGTTGACGCCCACCAGTACTCCAGAGACTCGTAAGTGAGATTTCATAATGCTCAATTTTCCTACCATATTTGATTAAATGGACCGTCGCGTAGTGGCAGCTACTTTGTTCTTGCACTTTTTGAACAGGTAAAGGTGAGCAAAAATAATCTCTCTGCCTCGCTCACACACAGTTTGTCACGAAATCACTCCTTTCAGCTGTTGTAGGGATGGTGTCATTTGAATGTGGAAGAAGGAATAAACAAAGAATAGTTAATTCCAAGAGCTGGCTCATTGACCTGTTTTACATCTTAATTTCTTGTCAACTGAATCTTTTTGTTTTATGACACTTGAAAAAGTGAAATTATGTCTACTTTGGCTCCTTGGCCTCGACACAAAGTTACATATGTTTATGGATTGTGAGAACTTCAAGAAGGATGTTTTATTCTCAGATTATTTAACATTAAGAAGATTATATGAGCATAAACATGGAAACCATCTAGTGAATAATTATTTTAAAAAATCACAAATCAAGAAAGTTTATATATGTAGTGGAATGTTTTGTTTTGTTTTTTGTTTTTATTTCTACTCTTGTCAATTAACTTATGAGTGCTTAAGATGGGAGCCACTCCCATAGACCACTGTAAATTCCTTAAAAGTTGGTATTCAGCATTCCTTGTTCTTACCTTACTTGCTCAGATTCCATCAGGCACCAAAAGAGAAACCGCCTTGTTTCTGTGATGGATTGTCTTTAAATAGCTGCTGAACTGATATTTGTACAAACCAAAACTTAATGGTTGTTGTTAATAGACTTGCCTATTCTTTCTTCTTAGACCCTCTAGACTCAAATTCCCTCTAGTTTTCTGAGCTCTTCTAACCTAAAGCTATTGGGTCTTGATTCCTTGACAGGGTAGCAAGATAAATGTGATGGGTCATAAAATCATTAATGGAATATTATAGTGGACATAAGTCCAGAAGCTTAAGAACCACTGGTCTAGGTTACTATAAAGCACAGGAGCATCAAACTTTTGCTGTAGTGGCCCCTAGACTGTGGAACAGCCTCCACCTGAATATCAGAAGTGCCCCCAGTAGTTCTGCCTCAAAGGCCAATTTTATTCTTTGACAGTTTCACCTGCATATCATCCCTGTTTGTGTTGTGTGAACACTAAAGTTGAATCTCTTGCTCCAAAATGAAAAATTCAAGTTGGCTTCTTATACTGAAATGTTTGTGTTTGCCTCTTTGAAAACAGAATAGCTATTATACAGTCCACTACGCTGTCTGCTGTGATATAACCAATCCCAGTTGAGTTCAGAGCTCATTATCATGACACTAGTTCACAGGAGAAACAGGCTTTAAGACTTCCTCATTGCATTTCTGAACTGGGGTAGACTGGTTTTTGGTACTATGCATCTCATTACTGTAGTGAACTGCAAAACACACTCATTCCTCTGAGAGATGCTATTGCTTTTCTACCTTAAATGGCTCATATTATTTGTGATTGATTAATGTTACTTTGTATGTGTGAAGGGTGTTTGGCTGTATTGAACTGTATTGTTATGATGTCAAGTCTTTCTTGCAAAAGACACTGTGATCTTAATTGAGTTTTCCTCACTAAATAAAGTTTAACTAAGTGTCCTCTATCTGTGATAATGATTTTTAACTTTGCTCTAAAAATTATAGTGTTGTTTTTAACTCTACTTTTTAACTAAAGTGACTGAAGTGACAACCCAGGCCTGTCAGCTATCACACAATATTTAGTGGTGAAGTTCTGTTTTAAAGATATAAAAGAAAACATCATAAATTAGACTTATTAGTTCAGCCAAGTCACTGTGATAACTTTATACAGACATAAGTGATTGACAGCTTGTGAACTTTCCTTAGCTATGGTATGCAAAACCCAGTCAGTCCTGCCATGTGTTTGGTATATCAACACAGGACAGTATGTGAATGACAATATGGCTGCTCTGATCTTCAGTAGGACTGTAGTGCCGATTAATACACAATTAAATGTGCCAAAGAATGGGAAAGCATTCATATGGAAGCTCAGTATTTGAGTTAAATGATGTTTACCTATTATTTGGCCCAAAAGACAGGGGTGTCAGGCCATGCTGTCATAAATCTTCAGCCTCACAATAAGCAAAACCATTTTCCAGACCTAACCTACCCTAACACAAAGCATCTGTGAACCCTGTCCTAACCCAAGCAAAGAGTAGATGTGTAGCTTGACACACAACACCTGGATTGTTTTCACTCAGGTTAAGCAGTGGCTGGCCCAACTGGCTTGTAGTGGCAGTCACCTCTGCAGTGAGCCATCAGCTTATGTTTTGTGTAGGAGGTTGTAGAGAACTGACTAGGGGAAGTTTCTCCCGCAGCTTCCTGTTTTCCTCATACTTCACTGCTGATGGCAAGTGTTCCACATTTCCTGTGTGGACAAGGGAGAGATGAGCCTCCTCTGGTGGCAGGTTTCGCCTGCCATAAGTACAGGGGAGTGACAGAGTATAGTAAAGCCAGTGTCGGTGTGTTTGAAAATTATTTGTTCAGTCAGTGACATTGTCTCCTGTCTCCACAGTGCTGAAGAAATCCCCATCGAGGTGATTAGGCAGCGGGAGGCAAAATGGCTGGAGATGCTCAAGAGCTGGGAGGCTAAAAAACACAAGAAGGTCTGCTGTGTTTTAACTCAAAATTATATCTGACTCCATCCCTGTCCGAGCAGAGTGTTTTATATTACTAGTAATTTAATGTACACTTTGTAGCGTAGGTCTGATTTGGAACATGGTTTTAAAACCAGGTGTTGTTTTTTATTCCAAGTATTTTTTATTGAAGTTCTGTTATTGTTCACACAGTTGGTACAATTGTTTGCTTCAGTTTCCTACAAAATAAAATCTGTTAAGCAGAACAGAAACTGCAATGATCCATCAAGAACAGTGAACACCATGAAAAGTGTAACATATTAAAAAAATATGGAAAAACTAAAGAAAGTACATAATAATAATAATTACAGAAGAAGATGCAACCTAAACCAGAGCCACTACTGATGAAGGCTGAGAGTTGCATTAGTAGATATGGACATATGGATATGATTCTTTTAAGGTGGAGGGTATCCAACAGTCTTAAATAAATAGTTGTGATAATCAGTCTCACAATAGTGGATTATTGTACACCGCAGTATTCACATTGCCCTCCAAGGTCTGTGTTCTCTTATTGCCTTCTGCAGGATCTAACTGTGCATGTGTTGTATAACAGGTGAAGGAGCGCTGTCAGAAGGGGATCCCTCCATCCCTGCGTGGACGGGCCTGGCTCTACCTCACTGGAGGCAAAGTGAAAAGAGAGCAAAACAAGGGCAAGTTCCAGGTCAGATAGATATTAGTGAACCCTGCTATCATCAAGTTATTTGACTTCAAAAACATACCTTTTTTGTGCTTGGGAGAAATCACTGTAGTGTGTTGCAAAAATTAGATGCAAAATTAAAAATGCATACCCAGGATGTATGTATGTTCACTGTTGAAGTGTCGCATATCACTGACAACTAGACGGTGGCAACCTACTGCCTCGATGAGTCAGTTTTAATATTAGCATTATATTCAGCATCCATACAAGTTGTTAAATTTGAAATAATGTTTTCATTACATTGATATTATGGCTGATGTGCTATCTTAGAATAGAACAGCAATGATGCTTCATATTTACACGTCTTCGACCTGAATGCTGATGAAGCTGGTGCTAATTATCTTGCTAACTACATATTATTAAATCTGCTAGAGACAGTTTCAGGCAACAAAATGAGCCATCACTGGCCACAACTAAGAAGCCTGTTGTGTTTTTTGTACGTGTGTGTGTGAGTGTGTGTGTGTGAAATCAGAGCTCATTGATTCAAACATTTGACAGCCATAGCAACAGGATTAGTGAGCACGTGTCCTTATACAAGGCTTGTTACTTCACTGGAGCTTGTAGTTCAAGAATTTCCTGCATCATCAATTTGCTCATAAACAGCAGCTGGTGGAAAATGTTTCAAGTATATAGTTGTTGCAAAAGCTCACAAAGTTGTGTGTTTTTAGCAACTTGACAACCATCCAGGAGATCCTAAATGGGTCGATATCATTGAGAGGGACCTCCATCGACAGTTCCCCTTCCATGAAATGTTTGCAGCAAGAGGAGGTCATGGGTAAGCAGTGCCATCTGAACGCCTTATGTAATGCTTATCCTTAAAGGTTCTGAATGTACTTTGTGTGTGTTCATACATGCAGGCAGCAGGACCTGCTCCGCATCCTGAAGGCTTATACTCTATATCGTCCCGAAGAAGGTTACTGCCAGGCTCAGGCTCCTGTTGCTGCTGTGCTCCTCATGCATATGCCAGCTGAGGTGAAACCACACACTAGTGATTAATTATTTTAACTCCTCTACTGTATAAAAAGTGTAGTTGATATTAGAACCTTACTACTCTGATGACAGGGTCAATAGGAATAACTCAACAGAGTGTGAATGAAGGATATACTAGTCAAAAATTCACTGTGAAATTTTTACAGCATTTCTTTAACCAGTGCACTATTTCTGTGCTAGTGTGGTTTATTGAATATATATATATATATATAGTCATCATTTTTATCTTTAAACACCACATTTTATAGTATGAAAATGCCTATACTTGTTTCCTTCCTTTGTCCTAGGATGCATTCTGGGTCCTTGTCCAAATCTGTGAGAAATACCTTCCTGGATACTACAGTTCAGGGCTGGTAAGGGTCCAGAGAGAGACACAGTCACATCAGCCTGAGAACATCACAGTACAGCTTAACAGGATTGCATAGTCGGCATTCAACATGCCAGTTATTACCTATCCAAACCCTGCTAAAATAAACTCTAGTCTGTTGTAAGCATTAACACACTCACGATATTGTGATACTGCTACATTTCTAAGACGTTCTAGGGCTGGCTATTTTCACTCTTGTATGTTTTCCAGGAAATTACACTGTCCACGATTTATGGCTCAAATATATTCGACCTCAGTATTCAAGCTGCTTGCTCTCATTTAGCTTTAGTTTATAAAGTCTGTCAACATAATACCACCACCAGCAACATATTAAATGTCTCAAGCTGGTGTCTCTTAGCTGGACACTAATATGCCAAGAACTCAATAACATGAGGTGGTGACCAAGCTATCAGGATAAGATAATCAGATGAAGCAAAAAGAGTTTCTCTCTCTTCACTGACTGCTCTTTTCATACTGTCTCTGCAGGAGGCAATACAGCTGGACGGAGAGATCCTGTATGCTCTGCTGCGGCATGTATCTCCTGTAGCCCACCGCCACCTGAAGAAGCACAAGCTGGATCCCATCCTGTATATGACTGAGTGGTTCATGTGTGCATTCTCTCGCACTCTGCCGTGGGCATCGGTGCTGCGTGTCTGGGACATGTTCCTTTGTGAGGGTGAGATGATGACACACTCTCTGTTAATAAATCACAAAGTGAGACGTGCTCCTGAAGACAGAACGCTGTTAATAAATCACTAATATGAATTCAGGTGAAGTGAGACGTGCTCCTGAAGACAGAACAGAATGAACTCTAGGGAGAAGAGCTAGTATATAATTTTCCTCAAGGCCCTGTCATGTGCTTGTCATCATCTCCTTTAATTTTACCTGTAAAACACCTGAGCACGATTGCATTTAAAGTAACAAGGCAAATGGTGAGTGCATGAAGTCTCACTATTTTAATTTGGAATAAGGATTATGCAAATTGAAACTGTCAAGCCCACAGCAGGATTGTTGAACCTAATCCAAGTCCATGTGGCAACATCATAGTTATGCACCTAGATATCTAGTTTCATGTTTATCAGCTGTATAAAGTATGGATGTCATGACAGCTCCCCCAAGTGAAGCCACTGCAACTCAGTTGCCCCCTCATGGCTGGTTGCAGTGTTGCAGTATGTGTCATAAATCTCGCCGTCTCCATATTAGTGGACGGGACATGAGCCAAACTAAAAGCTTAGTGTATAAATCAGATAAGTTTTTGCCAGAGGTCACTTCTATGGTTTTTGGTAGATTTTATCACATGGATGTGTGTACAAGTGGTAATTGTTCTGGTGTTTGTTTTTAGTAATTTAATGATATAAAAAGAGGTGTTTTTTTGGTTGATTTGACAGCTTTGATTGGCAGTCCCATACTTTCACTCCACTTCTGGTCACTGCTGCACAGAATCTGGTTGCAACAAAGCAAGATGGCAGCCGCTCTATTCACGATATTTTAACTTCATTTTTGCATAGTGGAGGGAAGTGGTGACACCTCGTCCATCAAAGGTCGTGATTTAGAAATGAATTGGTCTTTCAGATGGTCCCTGTATTCCAACATTACTGAAGATATTACATGTTCTCTGATGTGATTCTGTTCTCAGGAGTGAAGATCCTCTTCCGAGTGGGTCTGGTTCTCCTGAAATGCATGTTGGGATCCCAGGAGAATCTGAGGGCTTGCCAAGGTCTCTATGAAACAATGGAGCTGCTCCGAGCCATAAAGCCACAGTACATGCAGGAAGGCTTCCTAGTACAGAAGGTACACTGTCACTGTTGGAATTTGTGTTATTTATTTTATTCTTTTGTCTCAGTGCCTACTGCAGGATCCCTCTTTAACTTTGCCCCCCTGTGGTTGTGGTAATAGTGGTGTAAAAAGATTTAGCCTGTAATCTGCTGGAATGCTTCACCCTCACAAGTGATTCACACTCACTCTCCCCTTGTTTTTCAGATTATAGAGTTATCAGTGTCTGAAAAAGACATCGAGAAGGAACATCACACTCAGCTGCGCCGTTGGAAGGAGTCTCACGGAGATCTACACTGTAAGTCCCCTCCACGGATGCATGGTGCCAAGGCCATCATGACTGCCGAGCCGCCCACCTGGCAGGAGCTGAGACAGCGGCCCACAATCATTGTAGACTCTCTGCTGCCATCCAAGACAGATGTGATACAGGCAGAGGATGCAAAGGAAAATGGAAAGACTCAAGAGGAAAAGCACAAGAAAATGGTCCTGCCTCCACAGGAGACAGGTAATCTTTACCTTTCCCCCAGTGACCCTTCACTTCTCCTCAAACAACTGACCATACAAGGGTCCAAAGAGAGTGTGAGCAGTGCAGAGCATGACACTTACTTGTAGTAGGGTCAGTTTCACACCGGTTTACATACAGAAATCATTCCATGTAACCTTTACTAACTCCACAGAGACACTGTTCATGGTTTTCAGTCACAGCTGTCAATGACATGATAAACCTTTCTGACTTCATGAGAACAGAGACGAGTTTTTGTACAAGTTCTGCCATCATGAAGCTCCGGGAGAAGTTATGGAATTTAGAATCGCACGCTACTGCTGCTATTAAAAGTAATGTTCTGATTCTTTCTTTTGTAAAAGAAGTTAGATTTTGTCTTAACTGATAAGATCTTTTCTAGGGCACTTTGCCTTTATAGTCTTCCTCTTTAGGTGGGTTTCCATCCGCCAGTTTTTATGCACAGTTTCAATTTGTGCATAAAAAAAGCATAGTAGAAAATCTCTAAATTAAAAAGAAAAATTTAAAGCATTACCATAAAGTTTTTATACTATGTTGGTCTATCATTAAAACAAAAAAGTGCCATGGAAACAGATTTAACCAATAAAACATGATAGACATGAATCACGTGACTTGACATCCACCAAAGTGAAAAAATAGTGTCAGGCCAAAATAGATGAGTGTGGAGCAATGAGGAGACTGTGATGTACCTCAAAATAATACATGCATCCAACAGAATAGCCACGTTTCTATCATATTTTCTACATTGTTTCACCGTTTGGGGTTTGATTGATGCCCTTTTATTACATCACCATTATGCACCCTCGTGTTGTGCGTTGGTGTGATGAAAAGTAGTGCTACCAGATGCTACTCAACAAGCCAACTTCTACTGTTTGCATAATGATAGTGGGTGGATATTAATGTGCTTGAAGGTGCCCTTTTATTTTAATTTGCACTACATTTGGATGGAAACCCACCTGTTGCCTACGTTAGTCACTGTGCTGCCAACACAGGAATGAAGGAAAAGGGGTTCAGGAACATTTATGCCACTAAGCCAAAGATTTATAATGAGTATTTTTGAGATGTTCCTCCAGCTGTTAGTTCAATCATATTGTCTTACCGTATTTGTTTTCCATGTGGGAGAGTGTATTCATGTTTTAAATGAGCTACGGTAAAAATGTTTTGGAGAAAGTAAATATTAAGCTGTTGTTGCACAAGGGTTAATGGTTCTTTAGACATAAATGTATTTAATTGTTCTATGAAAGAAAAAGACAGTGTTTGCTTTGCAAGAATCCCAATTTCAGTTTAAACAATGTGTTTAATTGTTCTTTTTTGATCCTAAAACCAAGAAATCTAGATGTACCTAATGTTATCTTAGGTATCAACAAGCAAGTTCAAGTCATGTACAAATACAGTGTTCAACCTAATGGCATTATTTAGCTGAATCAACAAGCCAACTTTCACTAAGTTATTTGAAATTCATATCTCTGTATAATTTTTTAGGATTTGCTTTTCATTGTAAAGGGCTTATGTGTAGATGTGAGGAAAAATATTGACCAACAATATAGTAAAGGTCAAAGGAGCCATAAATCAGATATTATGTGTACTTATTTTATCTGTTGCAAATGAACAAAAAGTTGAAGAAAAAACTTGGATTCATATGTAGTCAACTTCTAACAGTCCCAGATATTGGAAATAGCTTGTGTAGCTCTAATGGCTTACAGTTAATGCAGGCCATTTGTGGGTATGTGTTGATTTTAAATATTATTTTTAAATATATGCTACAGTTTATTTGTTATCTGTTCAGAAGCAGTGTTTACCTGCTTTAATAATTAGATTTGAAAATACTCTAATCTGTTTCTAGTAATCAGCACACACATTTAACCAACTTGCTCTGCTTCCCCAGAGTTTTTGGTTTTTATGGAGCCGCTTGGAGCTGTACTGTCCTGTAGAGGGCGCCACTGAGCTTCATACAGGGATTAGAAAACTAGCTGGCCAGTCATTCTGACTTACACAGGTTATACAGGATGTGCTTTGCCAGTCAAAACCTTTATGCTGATTTCTTTTATTATTATTTTTTATCTTTCATCAAGATAATAAACAAAAATATTAGACTGGTTGGTGGGTTGTACCTTTTTACTAATTATATTTAAAGGTAACACCAATTAAGTCTGGAGCTTGTAAATTGGTAGCTGTATCCTTTTATTTTAATCAGTATTTAGGACTTTATCTCTGATTTGTTGCTCGCTTGACTTAAAATCATCTTTTATCTGCAATATGTTTTTATACAAATTGCATTTAAATCAATAAAGTTTGAAGTTTCACAGATTGGTCACATTTTTGCATTTTATACTGACAAGTTCCCCGTCTTATTCCCTGCACTTAATGTTAAAAAAAGAGAGAGATAACAAGTGCCACACAGACTGGATTGAAAAAGCAGGATTTCTATACACCCTGTGTTATCACTCTGCACCCTCACACCCGCCCTCACCCACAACACACTTCCTTGGACACCTGTTTCTCCGGCTCTTTCAGCTCTTTGAGGAATTTGCATCTCAAATACGGTGAATTCCCACAGCACTGTCCAGAGCGCCTCGCACAGTCATTTGCCTCTGGGTTCTGAATGGAGTCTTCTGCATATATACTGGCCTCCTTCTTCTTCCTCTACAGGTTCAGCTGCAGTCCAAGAACATGACAGCCAAGAATGTTCTCCTCTACATTTTAATTTCCCAACCAGTGAAACCCAAGCACTGATTTAATTATGTACCCAAGTACAAGTTCCTTAGCATGTAATTGCATTGTTGCTGAGTTCTTTTGGTTGTCTATGGACATTTTCTCTCTTTTAAGAAAACACTTGGTGACACATGAAATTAATATTTTTAAATTTAATGCTCTGCTGAAATGACAGGCTATAGTTTCCATGTGCCACATTGTTGAGACTCCTTCCCAACCCCCACAGTGGTGTTTTCTGTTTCAGTGATCTTGTGTTTTGTTATTAGTGTGTTTTTGTATTATCTCTTTTGTGCCTCTCATTATCTGTAAACAATGCTTGCTTGTCCGCCCCTTCTCTACTTTACTCCACCCTTTTGCATCAATGCAAAGCCCCCCACCCACCACCACCACCTGTCTCTCTTTCAGTACGCTGATGCTCAGGGACATTCGCTACACCCCGGCATAGACTAGGGCAGGGTGTAATGGGAGACTGTCTTAATGGCTAATCTGCAGAGGAGGAGGAGGAGGAGACGTGACCTAGACGTGACCCATGATCACACTCTCGGAAAAGAGCAGGGTAGCCTCAGCGTGTTCAAGAATATCATGGTACCCTCTCTCACAAGTCAGTTTTTCTGTTTCTTCCATTTGTTCTTTCAAAAGTTCTATATATGAAAACATGAACTGTCCACCATCAACCTTTCAAGAATCGTATAGTCTTCTACAGAGAATCAGGGCACTCCATTTTCTATGCATTTTCTCTTTTTCTCCCAGTTTGGTGTGGCCATGTTTCCTAGTCCATGCTGTTGCTCCGGCCAGGGTTAGGAGGTCTACTGTGTTTTAAAATAAAAAGTCACAAGGGTCTATGTTGGTGTGGACATGTTTCTACAAAGACTTGTGAGGAGATGAAATATGATCCAGTTTGAGTAATACAGTATCTAGAGTATGAGCAGTAAGGGTCGGGCTCTGAAAACCTACACAGCGGTTTATGATACTATGAGGCAACTCTGGAAAGCCATCATAGTGGCAGATGTTATATCCATCTTGGCATCTGCAAAATTCAAATTGCAGAGTAATTTACCAGCATATATTTTATTAGACAGTGCAGCCTGTTGCCAGATGATGTTGCACTGTGGGGGTATCGTGGGGAAGATGATCCCATGAGGCCATATGTGTGAAGTGTCTGGGAGATTATAGTCTGGCTTCATGAGCTGTAAAGCTTCTTTCAAAGCTTTTTGGTAACAAAAACCAATGGTCTGTGCCTTTATCCCTGGCCTGTTATCCGTCATCATGCCCTGTGCCTGGTGGTGTTGGTAGTGGCCGGATTAGTTTTTTTTCTATTGTACTGTGTGTGTGAGCCAAGCACTGGGACCTCATGTATGCTCCTGTTTGGGACTTTTCCAAGTTTGGGGGCTTTGATATAAAGTTTCAAGTAGCAGAGCTGCACATGTGGGACAGGAAGCAGAGTTGGAGTGGAAGGTGTCAGGGGTCAGACAGATGCTCATTCAGTAGACAGCGGACAGGAAGTGGACAGGTCCTTTTATGGTTCTGCTCTGCGTAACAGTAGCTGGTCATGTAGCCCTTATTAGCCTTTTTTTTTTTTTTCTTTTCCTTTTGAACACGGGCTTATGATTTAGGAAATGAGAATGCACACGTGTTTGGCTCCAGCTGGGGATCCCCCTGTTCTCCTTTATAGCAACTGAGTGTCTTATGACTCATCATGAGACTCATCTATACAGATTAGTGCATCACAGCTTCGGGTCGGTGTCCAAGCTATTGTTCCAGTTTAAGGCCAGTTTTATTCTCTGCAAAGTTTAAAAATAAAGCAACATTTGAGCCTGGCATTCACATCTGGGAACAAATTAATGAAATGGGAAAATCATGTTTCTTTCCACTTAAAGTGCAGCAATTTCTTTAAATCAAGCTCTCACATTTGTTGTTTTCTCAAACGACAGGAGACTGTCAACTCTCTGTACCTTGGTGTTGCCCGGTCAGTTTTATCTGTTTGCAACAGATTCAGAATGCCACAGATGTGTTTTAGGTCATCAAAGATCAAATCATCCATTTATTCTGGGCTCTGTCCACTAGATTTTAGCATGTTTGAAGTTGGCAGGCTCCTGGTCACACATTAACCTCCAGACCTGTCAGGTTTTCTGTTTTAAGGACCTTGTTGTGACCTCAGACCTCTTGAACTCTCTGTATTTTCCTTCACCCACTGTTGACTGTCAGCTTCCTGCTTACAACTTAGATTTTAAGACCTTTTGTTTTGTATTTCTGTTTCAGTGTCCTGTTTTCTATGTTTATCTGCTTTGTGCAGCATCTTATTTCACTTTAGCTTATAGTTTAAACATATTTTAATTGACTCTGTTACAAATGCACAAAAGTAGCTTGTCAAAGTATTGAATTGTTCAGTATGTTGTTCAACTGGATTATCAGGTTTGTTCGTTGTTGCTCTCAAATACATTATCAATCAGCACTCTTAAAATCGTAAACAATGCTACACAACGTCTTGTAATAACTACAGCAGTAGTTCTCTCTCTATCCTTATAGGTTTGAACATGTTTACAGTAATTGAAAAGCTTAATTGTCTTCCAGTTGTGCATTGACCCTACAATGCATGTTTAATGTGTAGCGTGCAGGAATGTTCTTGTAAATCAGACACCATGACATAATAAAGACATTGTCATAAGCTAACATGTAGATCATGGATGAGTACTTAGCAGCAGAAAGAATAATAATAATAATTAATCTTACTGAATTCTATCTGTAAGTGATTTGTGTGTGCATGTGTGTTATGTTGTCCCACAGTACAACATGAGTGATGATGCCTTTAGTTCCTGGTGTCTGAGATTCTGTCTTGCAACGTTTATTTGGCACTGTTTGTGTTCCATGTTTATCTCTTCAGTGGGGATGTTTGTTGGCGCGTTGCTGCTGTGTTGGTGTGTTTTGCACTAATCTCTATTGATGTCAAGTCACTTCCTGCCATTGTTGTGTCACATCCCCACTGTCTCCTCTCTTCCTGCCCATCTAGTCCCCTCCTTCCCTGACAAGGAAGCCAGAGGCTCAGAGAGGATACACAGAGAGGGGGGCAGTGATGTGAGTGTGTATATTAGTGTCTGTGCATGAGACAGTGAGAGAGAGATCTGCTCTGGCCCTGATAAACCTGGGGCAGGCTGTTATTGATGGTGAGCAGGAGAACACGCATAAAAATAATTTGAAGGTTATCTGTAAGGATGAAAATAAGTAATCCATTTTGTAAAATATTTTAGCTCAAATTCAACACAATGATCACCTGCAGGGTAATTCCACAGATACTGACTGTGATGTTTTCAGCATAAACTGAATTTAAGAACAATTCTGGTTTATTTCACAAAGTAAAATTTGATTCATTCAAATTTTAACTTGCATGATGTATAAAATGTGAAAATAACATCCATTAGGTTATATTCAGTCTCAAAGTAAGCCAGAGGATAGCTGGTTACATTAACTTTATTAGCAAAACCTTTGGTTGTAAACATTGATCACTTTGCAGAATGACTTTGCTGTGCTGGTCTTTCATGCATGCTGTAGTTTATTATTTAGTTTAGTTTTAGTTTTGCTTATTGCATTTATTTTGTTGTGAACTTAGAGCTTTTCAAGGACATTTTGGTTTCAAATGAGTGTTCTAGATCGTCTAGCTAAACTGCTTGACTTCTTAGTTTGTCACTATGTTGCCAGATCTCAGCAGTTACTTTACTGAGTACTTTGTTGTCACAATCAGAAGCAGCATTTTAGAAAAAGTACTTATCCAAGAGAATAAACTGCAATAAAAGTTTGATTCAACATTATTTTTGCATGAATACTTGCACTCTGTGTGTGTGTGTGTGTGTGCTCTTGAAGGATTTATGTGTTCACAGTCCTTGCATACGCACACACACCAGTAAGTGACCTCATAGCCTGTTATAATTGAAGCTAATGACAAAAGCATATGGGTGTCAAGACCTCAGGTTTGAGGTTACAATAGCTTATTGTATTGCATCCAACGCAGTCATGGGTATTGCATAGTGTGTGAACGTAAAAATTGTTGTGTGTTTTGTGCACGTGTGTGTGTGTATGTACATATCTCAACCTTGAAACTAAACTAGGGGCTTGTGTTTCAAAACCCTGTGAAGTTCGGGCACCCGGCATAGAAATCTTCAAAACAGTTCATATTACATGTGCGAGATTAAAGACTCGAGCACTTTCTAAATCCTGCTGTGCATTTACAATATTTCTGTTTTTAGCTTACCTCCTGTTGTCTGGCCCACCGCTGTTTCATACAGTTTTGTGGTTAACGTCAGTCTTACAACCAGGACAAGGAGTGCAGTAACAGATGGATTTTCTCCTCCTGGGTGCGCAGGAAGAGGAAATGTGTGTGCAGGTTTTACTGCAGCTTTTTGTGTGTTTAGACAGCAGGAAGGCTGCAGATCCTACTTTTGTTCTTTGAAAGTGATTTAAATCAACATATTTAAACTTTTTATTTTCAAACATTTTATAGATAGGTTTGTAACTATCCCATATTTAGTAAAGCACGTTGTGCCATTAGAGAGTGAGAGTTACATCTAATTTAAAACTCTTGTCAGCTGTCCCATGGGAGAGACGAGGAGGAGCCCCACCTTTCACTAATACTGTAGCTGTATTTTCAGAGCAGACCTTGAATGTAAGTCTGTGCTATTTATACCCTTTCATGAAAATAGTTTGGGATTTCCCTCTCCTGCCCTCTCATTCGTATCTGATAAATATTTCTGTTCAGCACAGTGGCTCAGAAGACAACATGTTGAAAGGAAGATTTATATCAGCAGAGTCCCCCGGTTGGCTGATCTACAAGCAGAAAACTGAAATTAGACATCCACGTTGAGAGTAGCCACTGGCTGCTTCGAAGGGGCAGTGAGTCCATGAGTGGCTGATGATCCTGGTGCATGTATGGGCTCAAGAAAGCGCACCGTTACATAGATACAAACTCAGCAGGCTGACTGCACCATGGCTGCTTTCTGAAGATGTCTGTCAGAACAGGGATGCACTGACACATAGGACCTGAATTCTTTTTGCCCCCAAACACTCTGGACAATAATAACATGTGAATCTATCATTTAAGAGGAGGGAAAGCAGCAGGTAACTATTTTCACATTCAGTATTTGTAACCTTTATAATGGTGGACCAGTTGTGCTGTCGCAGCAGTTTTCAGCCTATTGCAGCTCTAATGATCCATCTTGTGGTATAATATACACTACTAGTCAAAAGGCTGGACACACTTTCCCATTGTATTTAAAGAGTGTGTCCAAATATCGGTAGTGTATTTTTCCTTGTCAATAAATTCCCTGCAGAGCCCAAAACCTATAATATATTGATCCTGTAATAAGTAGCGCCTGTGTAGCTACAGATAAAGCTACTGCAATAAATAAATTCTACCAGCTGTTTTATTCACCCCTTGTTAAAAATGTAAGTATACAAGTTCACCAACCCATGTCCAGCTGATGTGCCAGACAGTGTGAGTGCAACCTAAATACCTCTACAGACACTACAGTATATATAAATGGATCTTATCAGGCCATGTCCTGTCCTGTTCCCTATCTCTGTGTCAGTCTTGTCCTCAGTTGAAGCCATGTTAATCTTTACTGGAGCAGTAAGATGAGGCGAGGCACAAACCTCTCCCAACGCGGTGGCCCATGTGTCTGACAAGCTGGTGTTAATCGCCTTGTCGTCCCTGCTGAAAACAACACAGCGAAGACAGCAGAGCAGGGCAGCTGGTAACAACAAATGTTCAAGCCTTCCAGCTGTGCTCAGAGTGTTAACTTTGACAGCATTCAGATAATTAAAAGCTCAGGTCAGACTGCTGATATGATTGATAATGTAACTGGCACCGATGGCTGAGTGTTTCCCTGAGGGTCTGTTTATCATCGGTGCAGTCGAGTACCAGTTATGGTATTAGGGAAGTGATATCATAAATTTTTAGATCAGAGTTGATCAGATCGCAAATAAAGCCTCCAGGAACCAGTTGTCTCGGCACGGATGGGGGCCCATGCATGTGGTCCGTGACAGCTTAACACACACATCAAACAACGGTCAGACACACACATCTACTGTAAGCAACAAGAACACACACCTCATGCTCTTTGGTGCTACAAGTATCACCAGAAACAAGCTCATAAACGCACAAACACACATGGTCACTGTGAATCATCAAAGGGATGCTATGCAGCCCTGCAGACAGACTATCACTGGAGTCTGTGCTTCTGTGCCTCTTTGCTTTTGTGTATCTTTTGAGAAGTGAGCACTCATCCTTTTCTATATCCTGAAGACATGCTGACTGTAACTGACTCACTGCTGATGGATGGCAGTTGATGAGGACACAGCAAATGAATGACAAGGATGAAGGATGGATGAAACACTTTGGTGTGGTAAAATAAAACTGCAAGGAACTTCTTGGTGTCCTCATGGTGTGTGGTTTACAGCACAAGGCCACACATGAGAGGACAGCACCAACAACAGCAACAATCAGTTTGAGACACAGGTGGGCAATTAAGAGAAAAAACACAAGCTGGATGTTGTGGAAACATGGCCTCTGGTATGTTGAGTGAAGCGATGGCTTCTGCGAGGAGGTTCAAGCTGAGTCCAGTTGGAATTTGTCACTCCAAAACACTTAAGTAGGGCCAAATGTAAGAAAATGTTGTCAGTGTTTATGTCATGATACAAAGTCTAAGGAAAAAGAAAACACACAACCTAGTTTTTCTGTTCACTGTTTCTAGTATTTATAAGAAAATTTCCTATTTTGTGCCACAAATTGTTGAGGGAATTTGTGGCAAAGTAAGGAAATAGACTGATGTTCTCATTAAGGCCTGATGTTTTATTTAACCATATATTCACATTCCTTCAACAAGCACAGCTAAAAACTGACCTCAGTCCCACTAAGTAACAGATAGGAAGCTTGGTTGAATAATTTTACTTTGCTTTTTCCTGTTCTGCCCAATGTCCTGCAGCAGATGGACAATTAAACACAAAAAGAGAGGCCTGGGTTTGGGCGGAGGCACACATTCAAACAGTTCTCTGAGAGTAAATGACGGTTAAAGCAGAAGATAAGGGAATCAATCCTCATCTTCATAATCAGAGGAAGAAAGAGCTGAGCGGGAATGGGAGACGACAGGGACAGGGGGAGGATGGAGGAGGCAGAGATGGAGAGTTGGAGGAAGGGATCAGTGGAGGAAAAGATTGTTGAGTGATACAGTAGTTGTGTCTAAAGGTCGGCGCCCGGCGCCACTGCTGTCACTCTGCTGAGAGACGGAACAGGCAGAAGACTGAGCCGCCCCATATGGGCCAACAAATACAGCAAGGAAGAAAAAGACAGAAGAAGGATGTCAGTTACTCACCCATTTAATATAGTTTTTGTTTCCTCTTACCTTAGTAGCTTTAAAGTTTGAAACGTTGTCTTATTCCATGCTGTCTGAAAGTTTCACATTCTGTATCAGATTGTTACACTGTTTCATTATATTCACAGTTCAATGTGCATAATTAAATATTCAAATATTCCTATTCCATATTTTTTATGGAAACTTATCTCTAATACAGTCTGAAAACAAACATTGTCCTGTTGTGTTTTTGTTAATTAAAATCAGATCAACTGTATTATATTTGACAGGGGAAAATCTCATGTGTGCTTTTATAAAAGTGTTGTTCTCTTTTCATACTACACACAGCAGCTGTTTTCTGTGTACACTGACAAAACTCCAAAACACACAAACACAAGCAGGGATAAAAATCTGTAAGACATAATTGCTCTAAACTGGCTTATACTTGTCATTATGGGATTCATTTGAGCTTTAGAATTTATTTTAAAGTTTTAATAATAAAGCCAAAGCCAAGATTTGTATAAATACATATCGGATATTTTATTGTATTGTATTTATTGATGTGTTTCTTTATGCTATGCTTGCACATAATTAGTCATTTTTATACATCAAACCGGTTGTCATTTGCAGGTTTAGCTGTTTAATACGCATGTTTTAATTGTTTTGATAACTCTTACCCTATTGTATGTCCAGAGAGGCCTTACAGGGACAGCGCTTCCTCGGTTCAGTACCGGACACAAATTCCTTGTGTGTAACATACTGGCCATTATCATTATCATTATTATGATGGTAGTTATGACAATGATTGATGATTATCTGAGTTCTTTGTTAAAATTAGTTTCACCTGAATTTTACTCATATTAAATACAGTATATACTTTTTCCTTTTTATTTCAAAGGTCTGAGGTAAAAGTTTTGTTTTTATAACTTACAGTTCATTATAAGGCTAAACATCTTTATTTTGTGATTCTACATGTTTGAACATGTACAGACACAGACTAAGCAGACATAGAAATGCAAATAGTGTCGTCTATTCAGAATGGGACACAGTGCTCCGGTGCCAGAATGACTCTTAATTAACATTAAAATCGACTATTTCATTAAACTTGACATGCCCAGACTTGACTTGCTGGTTACTGTCCAAACATGTCTAATGAACCTTCACTCCTTAAAATAAATGCAAATTAATCTGTTGTAATTATATTTGTGGTCCCTTAGAAAGAAATATCCTTAAAATATATGTTTTGGGTGAAGTTTCATTTTGCCTTGAGAGATCAACTTTTCTAACCCATATTTTAAGCATGAAAAGTGAGGAAAAGGAAGGGTTATTATTAAAAAACAAAGTAGCAGCATTGCAACCCTTTTATTATCAACTGAAGTGACTCCACCATGTGGTAGATAGTCAAGCATAACCCATAAAGAGAAGGGCGGGAACGGTTGTGTATGCAGTGAAAGAGCATGTTTTCAAAGCAGAGGGAAGGAGGGCAGTGGGAGGAGAGCAGGGGGTGTCCTGGGAGGGCACAAGTCTGAGGGTATATAAGGGTGGGGAGATTTCATATGAAGCAAAAGCTGCCAGCCACTGTGGACCTATTTACACCAAACAGACATTTTCTTCCTTATTAAAGAAGAGAGGAGAGATAATAGAGATGGAACCTACTGCTGATCCTTATGAGTACTACGACTACGATGAGACGGAAAACTCCACCATGTGTGACTACTCCGAGTGGACGCCGTCATACTCCGTCATCCCAGTGCTCTACATGCTCATTTTCATCCTTGGCCTTTCTGGAAATGGAGTGGTCATCTTCACCGTGTGGAGAGCCCAGGGCAAGCGGAGAGCTGCTGATGTGTACATTGGCAACCTGGCCCTAGCTGACCTCACCTTTGTGGTCACTCTACCTCTGTGGGCTGTTTACACAGGCATGGGCTACCACTGGCCCTTTGGAGTGGCCCTGTGTAAGATGAGCAGCTACATTGTCCTGCTCAACATGTATGCCAGTGTCTTCTGCCTCACCTGCATGAGCTTTGACCGCTATCTTGCCATCGTCCACTCCTTGTCCAGCACCCAGCTGCGCACCCGTGGCCACATGCAAGGGTCCCTGATAGCTATCTGGTTGTTGTCTGGTCTCCTGGCTGCCCCGACCTTGGTCTTCCGCACCACTAAATATGATTCAACCAACAACCGCACATCCTGCGCCATGGACTTTAGCCTAGTGTCAAGCAAAGAGGAAGAGAACCTGTGGGTTGCTGGTCTCAGCCTCTCCTCTTCAGCTCTGGGCTTTCTTCTGCCTTTCTTGGCAATGATGGTGTGCTATGGCTTCATCGGCTGCACTGTCACCAGACACTTTAACACTCTGCGCAAAGAGGACCAGCGTAAGAGGAGACTGCTGAAGATCATCACCACGCTGGTGGTGGTGTTCGCTGCCTGCTGGACGCCTTTCCATGTTGTGAAGACTGCTGACGCCCTCTCCTACCTAGAGCTGTTCCCTGACACCTGTGCCTTCCTGCGCTTCCTGCTGCTGGCTCACCCCTATGCTACCTGCCTGGCCTACATCAACAGCTGCCTCAACCCCTTTCTTTATGCTTTCTTTGACCTGCGCTTCAGATCTCAGTGTCTGTGCCTGCTTAACCTGAAGAAGTCCTTGCATGCCAGTCCTGCCAGCTCACTGTCCTCTCAGAAGACAGAGGCTCAGTCTCTGGCCACAAAGGTGTGACGACAGCTGAGGGCCCAGAGGCATGCTGGGGAAGAGGTGGCCAGTGCAAAACAATGCAGGTAAATCGAAACTTTACAGCACTGGGTGCTTCCTCACAGATTGTCGTCAGTTTCACGGTGTCACTTTTGCTCCTCTCTGACTCCGTGGACTTCTGTACGCACCAGTTGGGCATGTGGTTTTGGGTTCAACCCCAGTCTCACTGTCAGTAGCATGAAGGAAAAACTGAACTACTTAATACAAGGGATCAAGCATAAACCCGAACCTTTTGTTGAAAAAGTGGAATGTATTTTGAAAGGACAACATGTCCATGTGTTTCTCTTGGTTGTCCTGTGGACCTCATGAAAAGTATTGAGCTTTGAACTCTGATATCCTTTTCTCAAGTCCATTTGAAGTGTAGTACTCATGCATTTGCCCCTACTCTTCTTGTTTTCATTTGTAAGCACTTGAGGTGTGATATCCAGAGGGCTCCTCAACTCTCTAACTCAATCTGTAGTATCTGCACCACAGCTGGAAGTGTTACATTTGTTTGTGTGTGTGTGTGTGTGTGTGTGTGTGTGTGTGTGTGTGTGTGTGTGTGTGTGTGTGTGTGTGTGTGTCGAGGGGCGGTG